AGCACAATGCTTCTGTGTCAATCACGTCCATGTTCCTCCTTTGCTGGCTGCCTGTCTCTCATAAGGCAGTGGATCCAGCCTCTCTGCTTCTTCCAGCTGCCTCTCTGGAATCACAGGATTGAGATCCATGTCACATCAGCACGGGACTGTCAGCCTAATTGCCACGTATACACTTACTTCTTACACACCTCTACTTGTCATTGTCTGCTTATGCATCTGTGCACAATATGCAGGCAGACATGAGTGTGTCCTTTCATGCAGAAAGTTTTCCATGTACTGTCTATGGATTGATATCCACAAATATCCATATATTTTGTATATCATGCAGTTGCATACCTGGACACACAAAAACTTCATCTGCTGTCCACTCTGGATTTGGTACTATCTTGGCAAAATTAATCTACAGTTCTTTTCTTCAGCGGTGATCCTTTGGTGCCCAAGCAGAGCACCATTGTATTTAAATATAATGAATACATGTATATGTAAGTGTATTTATGAACACACACAGTTTCTGCTCTGCAGCCCAGTCTCATGCAGCCTGAACAACACGTAAACAAACTTCTTTGAAGCCTTGATCCAGGCAACAGGAAGCACAAGACAAAGGAGGTGGTATTTAGACTATGATATAACCTTTTGCTTTTTACATATGTTTGTGTATTCATGCATGTATTCTACACATTCTTTTGCCCTTTTGCAGAGACATTATTACAACTTTGGGCTCATGTCAACATGCAAACTGTCTTCATGCAAAAATCAATGTGTTACACCCAATATAAGTGGCTGTAGATTTCTCAACTTTATCATCTATTTCAGGTACCAAGACATATTCAAAATCAGTTTCTTGTTGAAAGATGGAAGTAGAGGACAAAGCAGGAACAAAAACCTTCATGGAGTGTATCTTTTCTGGATTCGTATGGAAATGTGGCTTTGACCACTGCTTGCATCAGGGTCAGGTTTTCATTTCAGTACTGCAGAAGATGACACTCGTGGATGGCTTTTTGCAACTGTTTTTTTAATGTGAATATAGGATTAACACAGGATGTTTTCTTTAAGTTATGTGGTCTAATCAAAATACTGTTAAAAGTAAAAACTGAAGCTGAGTGTGAGGAAAACTGTATGAAATGAAATTCATGAAGAGAATATTCTTTTTCATTTTTAATTGAAGTCATATAAAAGTTTTTTCCCTTTTTTGCACCTGTGAATCTACATTGATTTTAGATAGCTTCTGAGAAACAACTTTCCCAAGAGTGTAATGATCTTCTGATTGTTGCATATGGCACTAGGACCTTAATAAAGGTTCTGAAGTCTATGAGACTCCAAAGCACCTTTCTGGAAAAGCATAGCTTTCCAGGTTTTGAATAAATTTTTCCTGCAGAAATTGTTTAACATGTTTAGATATCTTCCTTTAGTTTAAACTGTCTCTGCAATTATTTTAGAAGCTGAAATCATGACCATAAAATTCATAACTCAAACTAAAGCTACAACTAGAAGCAGAATTTTGTGTGACCCCAAGAGCGACATTATGGACACTTTTACTGACATAAAGTTTACAATTTTATTTAGGTTGTTAAGAGAAAAAAAAAGTTTTTTGCTTGCCACAGTAAATAGAGGTTCATGCCAAAAAACATCAGCTACAAAACTTCTGTTTTGCCTTTTGCTATTTGTTCATAAAAGCTTGCCAAGCGCTCGACCCTCATTATGTACCTTGTTGTCATAATAACTGTGAGAACACCCTGCAAGTGCTTTGCTCCAAAGTGAGCTTCTGTGAGAAAGCAAATACGTGATGCTGTAATACTTTCAACAGGCACTACTGAGAGCTCTGTTTGAGGACTGATGTATCAGCTGCTCATCAATGCAACCTTAATATCAAATACTTTGGGGAAGCTTTCAGAGGAAAGGAAGAAAAAGTGGGGGAGTAAGAATAATGGACAAAAATTATTTTCAGGGTAGATGTGCTGAAATAAAATGTGGTTTCACTGAGAAGAAGTTTGCCCTGTTGCGTTCGAGGCTTCTTGTTTAGGTTGATTACATAGCAACACAGAATTGATTTCTTGAGCTTAGGACAGTTGGCAAACTTGACTAGACTTAAAATGAACCTCTTTGATTCCGTCTACAAAATTAGAGCAGATTTGATAAAGTAAAGATGTATCCTTTGAAGTATTCCCTATCAACATAAGTGCTAAGAACACTTGAGCGAAGGAATTTTAACAGTTTTGAAAGCAGTAGCAAAAGAACATCAATAAGGATTGCAGCTAAGGGCATGCCCACAAGGCACTATACTAACTGTATCTATCCTGCAGGCAATAAGCAATTGCTAAAGATTCCAGACTTTTTAAAGTTCATAGTTCATCTCATAAAAACTTTACATGTAACTTATGATAGGATTTTGCTGGATGGGTTTGGCTTCCACTACAAGACTCTAGGAGGGGTTTCTGAGTTGATCTGCATATTAAGGACATGAAGACACTTTCTTTTTCTCTTGTAGCAAATGATGATTGATGATAGGTTGATCTTGCAAGGTACGTAAAGTGTGCTTGTGTCCTGTTATATCAGGTTTTACACCCATGAAGGTGATAGGCTTTCTCCAGGCACTTCAGCAGATAAACACCAGCCCAAATGCTTTGTTGATCCAAGATCACATCATGGAATAAAACAGGGATATCCTTTACACTATGGATTTGTCCTGGGTGCTAGATTTCAGGTGCCCATGTTGCTGTAAGTTATTTTCCTTTCAGCAGGGAAACACTATAAAGGCCAAACAACAAATTAGTGGAAATTTCAGTTAGACCAGATTTCTACTTGTCAACTCTGATTCTGCTGGCCCATCAACATCAATGCTACTGCTGCTGTGGATAGCATGTGTGTTGGTTAACCCACTATGGCCTTGAAAATCTACCATTAGTAAGGCAGAGCACAAAGGAAGGAAAGAACACATCTGGGAAACGAAAAGGAAACCAAAAAGGAGGTTTTAAACTGCGAAGTTGCAGACACTAGGAGGTGAGTCACAAAACAACATGGATATTTAATTAAAAAGCTTTTACTTTTCTATGTGGATTTCATACTGGTGGTACTCGACAGATTTCAATGTGACCACAACAAATTAGTGGAAGCCACAGTTATGGAAATAAGGATTCTTAAACATGATCATGTCACTGTGGCTTAAGGAACTTCTGTGTGTCAGCTGAGCTGTGGGAATTGACATGTGTGCACCCTTAGCTGGCCACAAGCATGAGAGCATGAGTCAGTGAGTCAGTGTAAATGTCTTTCAGTGATGTTTAAGCAAGCATCTTTCAGCTCATACTTGCAATGGGTGAAGTATGTGTACTCTTAGTTGTTGGTGATCACCTGATGGGTATAAAGGATTCATTAGACTGCAGTAACTCAAAAATGTCAGACTCCTTAAACTAAAAACAGCAGAAACGTGTGTGTGATGCTTTAGATCACCTAGCATTTTTCCCTAAGCCATGTGGTTCCTAAATTCCCTTCATGGTTCTTCCTCAAATTTGCTATGAAGGCATTACTTCCACGGTGACACAGAAAGTAAAAGAATTAAAAGAGGCTGTGAACAGGGAGTAGCTGAAAGGGTTTCAAGGATAGCAAAGTGTAAACACATGCTCACTCAATGAGCCATGATCCCAAGGCAATGGACTCACTAGAGTAGTTTGTTGACTTCAAGACATTTGGAATCATATCCAGCTTCTCATGGTTTAACAAAGAAAATATAGGCCAGGAAAACACTTTGCTCAGACTTATCATTTTTCCAAGATAGTAAGAGATCCTTATAAATGCCCACAAGAATAATTTGTAATGAAAATTAATGATTTTTGACCCTTAAGATTTCACTACTTTACCTTTTTCAGTGCTGAAGCTTTGCTACTGATTAGGTATCACTCTGAATTCACGGAAAGCTAATAAAAACTGGCTGATTAGACAACCCCAGGCACCACATCTTAAGTAGTTATTAAACAATCATTATAGATAGAAAGAGCTGCAACTGGCTTCTGTTGAAACGCTGCTTATTATTATATAATCCTTTTTCAAGTCAAAACGAATGCATAATCAAAGCACAAAGCAAGCAGTTTGAAAGTTCTGAGCTGGCTGGGCAAAGCTATAATGCATCAACGAACCTCTAAATTAGTGCTCAAAACAATAAGTGATGGTAGATGTACAGCAGAAAAAGAAATGGAAGAAAAATATATGGGTTTACAGGCATAGTAGAACTAAGAGCTTCATCTGAAATCATTTCATGTAAAGCCCTACAGGAAAGCACAGCCTTTGCGTCTTTCACTCAGAGGTGCTTGTCTGGGGTCAAGAAGAAAAGTTGTGTGCATTTCTGGTGTGTCATATTGTTATTATAGACACTGCCATTTGCAAAGTGTTACATTAAACTTTGCAGCTGAAGACATACAAACTTTGATTAATCTGGTTCAGAAACACTGTGAATTGATCCTTACCCAATGTCATTTCTGCTTTTAACAGACTCTTTAATGAAAATTCATAAGAACCTCTTCAGATAAATAAGGATACATTCTGATCTTTATTGTACTGGTATGAATTTGGAGCAACTTCAATGAAACTAGTGGAATTGCTCTGGATTTACTAATAGTGTAAATGAGAACAAAATGAAAACCAGAGACTTTAAGAAGACTTTAGCAACCAACTCAGCTTTCTGAATTGGAAGGTTGCTTATTAAGTTTATAGTACAAAACTTCTCCCTTCTTTCCTCTTTACAATAACATCTTTCTTAACAGTTCTTACTAACTCTGCATGAAATAAATGGTCAGGATGTTTAAGTTTCCACCCTGTACCACCTGCAAATTGCAGGCCAGATCCATTTGCTTGATTGAAGCAAGTAAGAGTCATTACCACATAGGTCAGCTGATTTTCCCTTCTTAAACACCTGCAAATGCAAGTCACCTGGGACTTTGAACCTATTAAGGTTCTTATAATTGAGGCAAGGGTAAAATAGTTTGTAAAATGGTACATGAACAGAAAGATGAGAGGGGGAAAGAGAAAGATACTCTGGTTGGATGACAGGAAATCATATAACCATATTTGCAACTGAGCTTTGGGAGCATGGTCTTTATAATGGGGTTAGCTAATCTAGATAGTAATAAGGATAGGAAAGTCAGTAATCATAATCATATTTAATGGATTCCAGATGGAGAAGTATAATTGTTCTCATTATCATTGTGAAAACTCCAAGGAAATACAATCCCAAGATACTTTACCTTGACAAGCAACCAGGAACAATATCGACATCAAGTCATGGGATTTGAAGGTAAAGTTGTCAGTTATTTCCTTTTTGTAGCATTCCCTTCTAATGTAATGATTTGATTAACCTAAGACATTTTGATGTGAGTATAAAAGCAATGTTAATGAAATGCCTGCTTAATTGACTGTGCATCTCTATACCATATGATGTGGTGACTTTCTAAATATGTTGTGGAATTAAAAAAACCAGCACCAAAAGCCCTGTATATCATGAGACTTTTCCTTTGTAATGTGGTTACAATGAAATATGACTGCAAGTATCGGCTTTTTTGGGTGCAGCTGTTCTTTTTGTTTGGCTTGATAATTGGAACCAGTCCCATGGGCCTATTTGATGTTATCTCTTGTTTAAAACTAAACTGTCAAAGCTTATCCCCCCTGTGTACTCAACAGGGAGTAGTTCTGGGGAAACTTTCTTCTTAAGTATTTTTAACCCCTCCTCCCCTCACGCATTCTCTTAACTGAACCAGGACAGTTATGAAATGATGTCTTCACAGGAACATTTGTACAGCAAAATATTTCTTTGTGGAAAATTGAGCCTTTTCATGTTATATGGCTTTGTTAGAGGGGCCTAAAACAAAACGATCCCACAGCAGAAGTCAGGGTGTGCACTCTGAGCTTTATGACAGTTTGCTGTATCTACAAAGGGTGTCCTGTGCAGCATCCCCCTGTCATGAGAGGAGATCAGGGTGTGAGACAGAGACACAGATGTCTCCCACAGTATGAACAAAGTTTTGATCCAGCAACAGCAGAGCTGTGTTTCCACGCAAGAGTGACTTTAATGTGCCTGATCCCAAGCTAATGCGTTCAGGCAGGATTACACTGACAGCGTTGGGGTGACATTATCTCAGTCATTTCTGCGAGGGTCGGCATGCCCTGCACTTTGCGTTATTTAGGTGTATCCTCAGCACATTAAGATTTGCTTCAGGAGGCGTTAGAATCTGAGCTTTGGTTTAGTCCCCTGAATGGCAGATGGTAGCAAGGAGCATGCCTCCTGCAGTCAAGTGAGGAGATATTTTAGTTTGGCTTCACGTCTTTCATTTTCTTTTGCAGTTATTGTCTTCGCAGTTACAGAATTGAGACAGCTCAGCTGTGTGATCTCAGAATAGACAGAACACAAGGCAACAGCACAAAGCTGTGCCAGAGGAGGCTCAATAATGCGTGTTAACTTTTCTCGAAAGTGATCAAGCAGTTGGACTAAGTGATCTTTGAATATCTTTCAACTGAACTTTTCTATTCTGCATATATGTTTCTATATTGAAGAAACTAAAGAGAGACAAAAGTTAGTGGCTTTCTGAGATTAGCAATAAACACACACATTAGTACACCCAGGAAGAAGCTTCATCCCAGGCACTCTCAGAACATGAGAACTGCAGAGACCAGACACTAGGTGATGCACTGATGGGCTCTTTCCATGTTTCTGTGGGCTCTTGCATGTCCTGTGCCACATGTTGCTTTTCTTGAATGTGCAGAATAAGAGAACCTTTGAGTTATTATCCAAAGACATTTTTGTAAAAGAATAGCAAGCAGATGTTTTGTTTCTCCTACAGATACCATGTTTACCCTGTAGAGATGTGGTGGTTTCTACAGTGATTGCAATTTCTGTGCTAGTACTAGGTTTTGCTTTCTATCGTGCACAGGTTATTTCTAATATGGACAGAACATCCAATGAAAGATAAGCTCTTGTTTCTTGGCCTTTGTTACGTTAAATCTTGCCTTTATCTTAGGTGTCTTTGTCATTCCTGTTCCTTCTAGTGTTTAAGACCAAATGCATCACCTTCTACAAATGACCATCTGTTTCTATTATACAGACTTGTGTCAGGCCACCTGGAAGAGCCCTTCTGAGTAAAAGAAGTAAAAGCTGCTGATAGCTGTAAAAACAGCAAATGAGTTCCTGTCTTGTGCAGCACTCAACGCAACTAAGGTGCTTCTGGCAAGCAACCTCACTGCAGTGCACTCAAGAGTTACTGATGGGAATATCTAAGCACAGGCTCTCGCCTGCAGGTTGATTAGGGGCCCCAGGAGAGTAAAGGTGCTTGTGATGCCCATTCATGGAAGAGCAATGGCCAAGATCTGGTCCCTCTTGCTATCCCAAATACATCTCCACAGAGCTGTCAAGTGTTAGATGGGGAATGATTCTTATGTCCCTTGAGGGATGCCAGGACTCAGTACTTTGCAGATAAATATAAGTTTCTATTTAAAACCAGTACTACTGGGACTAGATGTAAGAAGGGCTGGAAAAAGTCAGTTCTAAAAATACAGGAAATAGCTATATGGTTACAGAAGTGAATTTCCAGCTGTGGGTAATCATATAACTCACATATTAACAATGAGAATCCACTGCGTAAGGGAGAAACACAACAATTCACATAAGCTTGAAAGACAATGGGCCAATTTCTGATCAGACTGTGGAAAAAGAAGAAGAGAGAATGTATGGAAGGCAGAAAAAGTAGGGGAATGGTGCTTTGTTACTGAGCAGTGAAGTGGACAATTCTAGAAAGACTGGTAAGAGCAAAGAGAAATATTCATCTGCATTTAGGAGGCACTGCTTGCAAAGGTGAGGTTAAGAGCATGGAGCTGAAACAGCCAGAAGGCCCTTTTGCTGGGCTGTTCCATTTGTTCATAGATTCAGCTCATGAAGCAGAGCAGCTCCAGAAATAAATCCAGTATAATCCTTACAACACCTAGCATCCAAGGCTTTCCCAGCAATTCTGAGCTATTTCTAATAGCAGCCTGTCTCACAGCTGACAGAGAACCAATCACCCTGCACGTTTCATAGATGGGAAAACTGAGGCATTCACCTTGTCAGTTACTGAAAGAGTAGAAACAGAACTCATCCGTCTTTGCTCCATTTTCACAAATTTTAATTAGTCATCCAAACTTCCATTTCCTGTCAGGCCTTTTAGCTGCAAAGACCCTATCTCACAGAGTTTTTCTGGCAGGTTTCTGGAAAAGTTCACTTTGTCATTTTTTTTTTTTCTTGTCCTCAGTCCTGCTGTAGAGATCTTCAGTCTTCCCTTTTTCTTCCTAAGGTCTTCTCCAGTGTCTATTCCTTGAAAATTCCTTCCCAGTAATTGTCACTGTTATTCTAAGCAATAGTAGATGGTTTTGATCTGTGGAGCTATGTAAAAACTGTGTTCTCAACCTGTCTCTCTATCTGATTTTATTCTTCAGTGTTAGACCTTAATTCTCATGGGCTTGATCAGAACAGCTGCTTTTGTATAGTGGGACTAATTTTAACCAATCATCCAATTGTCAAGGGGTTACTTCTCTCATTTCAAGGCGGCTTCTTTACAGTATTCTCTTTGGTTCCCCCCCACACTTTATAGCAGAGGTTGTGCAATAACACTACAGAAGTATAGTTATTGCTGGAAGGCTTTTTAGGCTCTAACATGGATTCCTCCCTAGAAGAGGGGGATATATTCGTCTTAATAGAAACATTGTGGCTCATGTCAGTGGTATAGGCTGCTCTTAGGACTTTCTGCTGCAACTACAGGTTTGCATCTGGCTTATGATTCTCTACTCTTCCATGGGAAGCAGAATTTTTTCCTTCTACTAACCTGTAAGCTTGAGTAAATCAGATAGTGTTAGCCACTGACAAAGGATGTGATCCAAATCTGTAAGAAGTCAATGGAAGCACCTTACATGTTTATGGGAAAAATAATCCCCCCAAAGTCAGCCAGTTATGTCTGCAATTAGTAACTCCTTCTCCTCCCATTCCAATTTCCGTAATCCTGTTATTACAGAGCATTGCAAAAGCTGTTGCATAGTGTCACCTAATCCACAGGAACAATGTACAAAAAAATCTACATGGGAAAAATCCTCCCCTCTCCTTTCTTTATGGCATAGAGTCTCCAGAAATGTACACCTGATTACATCTCATGTTCTGCAAGGACTGCCTGCAGATAGTTGTCATATGTACAGAATTACTTAATTCTGCTCATCATTAAAATAGTCGGTGTTGTGCAAATATAAAACAAACAAAAAATATTCCGTAGTTTCATTTTTTTATAACTTTTTTTCTAAAAACATATAGGCTGTTCTAGTTTCCTACGTTTATGCACTACAGCAAGATACTGAAAGGTAATTGCAGCGTTCAAGTAAAACAATTCCAATGCGTTTTATCATTGAAAAAAGAAAAAAAACTTTCATGACAAAGTGGCAGGTTAATTTTTACTTTGACTGTTTCTCTAATATCTGTGCCTCATAGTAGTATGTTGGAATACATACCATCACATTCTATCTTTAGACAAAGGGAAAAATCCAAAACAGAGATGAATAGAGCAATTTCTCTATATATTTTTGCTAAATTGTGTTTCTTGTTTGGTTTTGTTTTCTAAGGAAGAGCTGTGTTCCTGTTTATGATTCATGTTGGATGAGACTCTAAGAACTGAAGAGGAGTAATCAGGCATAAACCTCAATCCTTCGGAGGCTATTGGCTGTCCATCAGCACTGCAAATTTTGGGTACTCTACTTTGGGTAACCAAACAGGTAAGAATTGAACACTAGCTTTTGCCTTTTTAAAATCTCATCCGCCCACTTAGACATCCTCATACATTGAGCAAACAGCTCCACTTTCTGAGCTGCTTACTCCAGTTTCTCAACAAGAAGGGGTCAAGATTGACCCTATCAGATAAAAGCAACGTTTTCAGTTCTTTAATTTTGCTCATCACTTTTGGAGCTTGCAGGCTTGAATCAGTCCTTATTTGCAGGGTTTTCAGTACCTGTAACTGCAGTTCAGGGAAAGTTGATTGTATTTCAGGCTTATGGGGCTGAAGGCAGTATGCCCAAGGCTGCTGCGAAGCCTGGCAAGGAACCCCACAGCTGGCAGCCCTGGATGGAAGTGGGCGTGTATTTATGCCTTTAAAAGCCAGCAAAGGGAGCCTTAGTGGGCCCTGTTGCCTTGATGTGCAGTCTAGCTTGAAAAAGCAAGATTGTTTATTAGTTTAAAGGGGTAGCAGCTAAGGGCCTGGGCAGAGAAGGCAGGCCACGCATGCACAAACAAAAGTCAGAATTGAGAAGCAGGCTGTGGCAGGGCACCAAACTGAGCTCACTTGCCAAGTTTATTTGGCTTTGCCTGCTCATTTTCCACTTTTTACAAATATTTCTTTCTCCCACCTTGCTGTGTGAAAGAGCTGCACACAGAGAAGGGCAGCAGCCCAGCAGGAGGAGGGGCACGGTGAGTGGCCATGAACACCGTGTGGGCATGCTATGACCCCTCTCCCTGTGCTCTTGTATATGACCATGTTTTCAAACCTGCTGCCGGGTCATATCACCTTCAGTGCTACTTGTAGAAAGAAATAATTAAAACAAAACAGCTAGTGAGATGGAAGTGATGGGTTTTAATCCAGTGGTGTGCCTCTGAAGCAGAAAGATGGGAGTTTTGCTCAGTTTTGTTTGGATCTCAGGGCCAAAGTGACCACAGTGAAGATGAAAATAGGTTCTGCAGCCAGCAGTGGGGCTCAGGCTGTGCGGCCTGAGCAAAAAGGGGCCACAATAGGGTCTGAGGTTGTCATTTGGAAGCCCCTGTCTTCTATCCATGCAGGCACAGGCTTACAAATGATAAAAGGAAAACTGGAGAAAGGTGCTGGTGTAAACAAGACCTTAAGGTTACTCAGAGACATGTTAATGCCGGTTATGTATGTGGTGTGTTAGCAGGACGTTTTATTGGATCTGCTGAGGTGCACCGATAAAATCTGTGCTTAGGGACTTTTAAAGAATGTTGCTGTATTTACAGAGGCAAACGATTATTCAGGGACTCTTAAATGTGTACACTGTGCAGCTACCAGGAATGCACAGGAGGGCTCTGCATATACCTCAGTGCGAATTGTGTAGGATCCCAGATATGTGTGCCAGTGCTGGCATGGAAAATATTGCAGATGGATGTGTTGGTGTGTTACCAATGCCTGCCTGGTCCAGCATGTGGGCTGAACACTCTTAGAATTACAGAATGGCTTAGGTTGGAAGGGACCTAAAAGATCAACCCTCTGCCATGGCCTGGTTGCCCCCCCAGCAGATCAGTCTGCCCAAGGCCCCATTCAGCTTGGCCTTCAGCACCTCCAGGGGTGGGGCATTTGTGACCGTCTTTGAATGCAGTCATGCAGAACATACTGAGAGATGCTCTGAGGTGCATCTTGTTGGCACCGGTGCAGCTCTCTGGTGCACCTCCCACCTGAACAAGAATTTGAGTGTTCTGAGGAAGGACAGTGCCAGGGCAACCTGGTCTTTCCTGTGAGAGCAACCACACAAGAACAGCCTTCCCTTCACAACTGCTGGGCTAGGCTTTGAATGAACTGAAGGCTAAGAGGGGTATTAGTCTGAAGGGTTTTTATTTTGTTTTTGTTTGTTTTTAATTTGTTTTCAATTATTACTTATAGTAAGCACTCAGAAGCCAGTTCAAGAGCCGTACTCGAGCTGCAGCTTGGCCTTTCCTGTCTTTTCTGGTTTTGTGGTACTAGAGGTTAAAGCAGGTTGAATATAATATTTGCCTGTGCTGCTTTTGTTGTTGTTGTTTTTATTGTTTTTTTTTTTTTCCATCATGTGTTTTTTCACTATGTCTTACTGTATCTGACCAAGTGCAGAGAATATTTGTAAATATGTAAAGCTGAAATGATACTGAAATCCTCCAGGAGGCAAAAAGGCTTATGAAAGCTGCTAAAACCAAATGAATCCCTCTCAAAGGAGCCGAAAGCATGTAAGATAATGCAGGAAACATTAACATAATATTATCTTAACCTTGTAGATAAGATTATCTGATGCGTGAAAACGGTCATCTTTTGTATTGATTCTACCGTGCCATGCAGCAGTTCTTAGGAAAATGAATGGGTCATTAAATGTTCATTACTTGATAGGCTCTAAAGCAGAAAAGATGTATTAGCAAATGAATTAACTGCTTTGTTACAGTTTGAATATATCATTAATGTGTATGTTTTTTCTCCCACAAGAAGTGAATTGTAGGCATCTGCAGGGCAGCAGTGTCTGTAGGCTGCTGCAGAGCATTATTTACTTAATATTTGAGGGACATTTACAAATAAGCATTGGTCATTTATCTGATAAGGGAGGATGGAGCATTTGGTGCATTATTTATCCATTTATGATACTGTCATAGGAGAGTTAGACCTACTGTTATGAGGAAGCCCTAATACTCTTGTGGTGATGTGCTCACTGTAGTAGTGCTGCCTCTGAAATAACATCTGAAATGCCTCATTTCCCGAGTGTATGGCTGCGGGAGGGCTTGTGTGAGGTGCAGCCCCTTGGAGTTGCAGTAAACATGAGCAATGGTGCCACTGTCCCTGAGGGGCAGTGACAGCTGGATGTGTTTTCAGGTTTGGCCACTGCAGGTGCAGGCAGTGGAACTGTGGCTGTTTTGGTGTAGCCTTCGGACACTGTCCTTTTCCTGCAGCCCATGGCTGACCCTCGTGAGAGATGCCAGGCAGAGCCTGCTTCCAGTAGCTGAGAGTCTTGAAATCAGCTAAATGTTGCTCAGGAATGCCCAGTAGAGAGAATGCCAGTTACACATTGCCTGAACAATGACCTGGTGCCACAGCAAAAAGCCACAGGCTTTGTTTGCCTCATCCACAGGATTGCTCCCTCCAGTGCTGGTGGCGGAGAATGTTTTTCAATCTTTCTTTTAAAAGCCAATAAGGCTTATAATTGCATTTGAAGCTGCTTTTCAAAGCCATTTGTGTCCACGCCCGCTATGACTTTAAGCAATATTATAAACATATTAACTAATTACGTGACATACTACCCAGAGGGACAGTCAAGAGCATGGTTTCGGCTCGCACAATTGTTAGTGAAATCCCAGGCTGCAAAGCTGGATAGCAAAACTGTGCCAGGAAACCTCTGCTGATGGTTCTGAGCACAGCACAGCTGTGAGCGCAGCTCAAGCTGTAGCTTGGATGGGGCCTCAGAGACTAATAGCTCTGGTTAGAGCCAGACATTGTGCAGTCAAGAGCTGAGCAAAACTCTGCTTTGTAGCTCACTCCTAACCTGCAACACCACCTGCTGTTTCAGTGCACTGTCTCTCGACAGCAGATTCTTCTCTCTCTGCTCAGTGCTATGGATATGCTGAGAGAGGCAAAGTGACTTCATCCGCTACCCCCAAGTACAACTTGGCAAACATGAATAAAAATGTTAAGTGAAAAACTGGTAGGTCTTGAAAACAAACACAGGAAAACAAAAACAAAAACAAAAACTGTATGAAATGACTGCTTCTTTCTTTTCTCCATTCCCTTCTTTTTCTTTATCCTCCTTCAAATTTGTTAAGTGCTAAGCAGAACCTCAGGGCTCCTGCTGGCTCCCTACAGGGAGGCTTTAATAATATTACTCCTCATCTCCAGAGTAAATTGAGGTGGCAGCCCCACTTCTTAAGCCCTTTTCCAAAGGAAGCTCTTGTATCCCCCTGTATCTCCAACTTCTGACTTTTCCCTCACTCTATTCCTGCTGCGCATACCCATGGCTCCTTCAGGAGAAGCTGTACTGCTGCAATTCCTCAGCTTGTCTGGAGCAGGTAGATGGTGAGCAGAGGGAGCTCTGGCTCCATTCCTTACTCTGCAATGCATGGCTAAACAAGCAGGAATGGCAGTTAGGACAGACTGAGGTGGTGTTTTCATCTCACCCTACTCCAGCAGTCAGTAACCATCCCTTTGTGGGCCGGCAGGGAACTCCATCCCAGCTGAGCATCCCCATGCTTTGTGCCTTCACCGTTCTGCTCCTGGGGTGATACCATTTATGGACTTTTCTCAGGACAGGGTCTACCATCTCAGCCAAGTGCTAAATAAGTAACAGAATGATTTCATTCTTCTGTTTAATTTAGGTTTCACAATCTGCAAGAATATCACCCTGAGCCTTCTCTCTTCTCTTCTCAAGCTGCTTTTTATTGCTCTCCCATCACTTTTGCTCCATGAAGTTGGGTGATGATCCTGCAGGAATAAAAGAGCTCTGCACCCATGCAAAGCCTGTTTTCTTGGCAGTCTTGAGAGCTAAGCTGTTTGTCCGCATTCAGTGTTAGATTTACAGGGGGACAAGAGGAGCTGTGTTTTACAAAACAATGTTTTCACCAGAAGTCTGAGGAGTTTCCAACTTTGGGCTTTATTTGTATTTTAAATTTAGCATTTGCAGATGTTTTATAGGCATCCAACTATTTCAACAAAATGATCACTTGACAATATTATATTGCTGAGCCTTGAACTCTGTCCAGCTTGCTTTGTTTACAGAAGACCACCTGCAGCCATGGTATATTTTGTGACCTTCTATGGAGAAACAAAATTGTGAGTAGAGGAGCATTACTCAGGTCTTTTTCAGTTCATGAATGAAGCCCACTACAACATGTACAGCAGGGTATTAGGAGGAGATGAATTAATCATGACACGTTACAGAGAACGAAGTGCTTGCCGTTCATTTAACAGTCAATCAAGTATCTGAGAAACTATAGGCCCCTTTGTGGTACAGGAGCACACGACTCCTTCCCAGTCCTACCAGCAGTGACTCAGTGGTGGGAGGCATAATGTCATGGGTTATTCCTGTTCATTTGGCCTACTGCAAATTTCCATGAAACACCAATGGAGGAAAAAAGAGCCCACTCCTGGGATGTGCCTTGCCAAATGCTACGTGTAATGTCAATGCACAAGTTCATCTGCCCACCTTATGTTCCTCTACCTTTGTGCAGAAACTGAGCGCAGCCAAAGAAGCAGGGCTCTGCAGAAAAATGGAAGAAAAAAGAAAATAGGGAATTAAACAGAAACATTTATCAGAATTTCAAGTAAAACATCCTTTCTTCCTGCAAAGGTACCAAACTGCCATATAACAGAAGCACAAGGTGAAACATTAAGTGCCAGTATTTCTTAGCCAACAATGTATGACCTTGTTTCTGAGCAGCTGAACTATGGCTAAAGTCGAAGTGGCTCTTTTGCTGTCAGGACCTCTGTAAGATGTGACCACAGTCAGAAGTAGCCAAAAATATTAGAACTGCTAAAACGTCAGGCTGCATATCTCGCTGCCATCTGGCCAGTAGAAGCAGTTTACTTTTGTTAAAATTCATGAAGAGAAAAGGAATAAGTTTTTGATTATAATTTGTTCACAATGAGAATTTATCCAGCACCTGTAGCTTCAAATTTTTATGGTTCCAGTAAAATAGATTATACCCAACCAAACTTATTGAGGTTGGACTTGCTGATCTCTTGAAGTCCCCTGCAATTCTGTGACTCTCTAAATATGTTTTTCAGTTAATAATTATTGGGGGGGGGAGGAAATCCCAGGCTGGTTAGCACATTTCAATGTGAGGCAATGCTAAAACCATATTTAACAATTTCCACTCTGCTTTAGAGGGATGCTTGATAGGCCTGTAAATGGAAACCACAGTGGTTTATTTTTTGTGAGAGTACAGGATGTCATCCTTACTGCATGTCTGGTCTTCACTCTTCAGCACATATTGGCCCTGATTCTGCAACTCTTGTGGATATGAGCAGCTACACAAAAGGCATCCGTATCAGTGGGACCAGAGCAGAATGTCCCACAGGATTGTTCACAAAGAGCCGTTTGCTGTGGAACATGGTGAGAACAGCTCTAGATCTGGCTTTTGCTGAGGACTAGCTGCTAGCAATATGCTGCCACAAGGTCTGAGTCTGGCTGGAGAACGTGTCCCCTGGTGTTTCGTCCAGTCATTCACACAGCAGTGTGAAGCACAAGAGTCCTCTGCTCTCTTCAGCTACATTTTGTGTGCCAGGGAACTTAAATAAAGGCTTAGGAGAGAGCAGAAATGTATCTCCAGGCCTTGAGGGCATTTTAATTCTGAATCTCAGCTGCAGGAATGCCTTGGGTACCATATAGAGAGTCCAGACTGAGTTAATTGGGTGAGTCCACTGGGGAGGTTGGACATTGCTTTGCAGCACAGCATGTGTCAGTGTCTTCCATAGGAAAAGCACTGCTCCCCAGCCCACTAGGCTTTCACCTGTAATGAACATTCCTATAATTCATGATGTGAAATTACTCTTTCCTTGTTCCTTTTTACAATTATCTTTCTTCCTCCCCTTTCCTTTCCCTTGTCATCTTGGCATGGAAATGAGTCTTGATTGTTTCAGTTATACAATCTAAACAGAGATGAGCTGCAGCCAAATCTCGAGTCTTGTGCTAATTCTTGTGCTAATTAATGATACAGTAGCAGAGTTTCCTTGAAGAAAAGTCTGTCGCATTTCCCAGGTTTGTGTTACTCCTCATACAATTTGAGAAGCTACAAAGCACTACCCCAAACCTGCCTCTCCATTTCTGGTGTTTCCCATTTAACGTTTCTCCTTCCTCTCTAAACTCTTTTCTCTGTCTTTCAGCAAGTGTGAAACAATTTCCTCTTTTCACAGGGGCCTAGTGGCAAGCAGATTAATGAACCCTTAACACAACATGGAACGCTGCTGCCAAAAAATGTATGAAATGCATTCAGCAGTCCCCACAGTGCACTGTGTGAAGGACAATTACCGAAAACAAAAGCTGCAGAGCAGTTCTCTTATATTTCCAGCAGTCTGAAGGGTTTGGATCAGGCTTAGGGAGCTACAGAAATGACCCTGACTTTTATTTTAATTTTAATTAGTCAGCAGCAGGTATCTTTTATGACTTCAAATGTATCAGAAGTCAGCCCCAGTGATAGAAACCTGCATCCTCCTTCATTGCTGGTGCAAGTGCTCCGATGTCTGATTTTACATCAGGGACAAATCTGACTTGCACTGTCCCCTGATGTTAATGTGCTTCTGCTTGATATCTCTGTATTGTTCTGAACTGGAATGGAATGTTTTATATTTCAGAAGGGTTTTAAGGGGAAGATCTTTTGGTTTCTCGCTGGCCTTTACAGCTCCACGCTAACCTTACCCAGTGATTCTGCATGCAGTATTTGGAAAATAGCTTTCTTTCTGTCTTCCCTTCTTTTTTTTCTTCTTTTTTTTTTTTTTTTTCCCCTTCTTTAATGAGCCTTTGTTGGTCCAGCTTGCTCTCTTAGTCTCTTAACACACTTGTGTGTGGAACACTAACTCCTTGAAATGTGAAACAGATGGATGAAGTGTGGGACTCAGAGATATTTGTTTTGGAACAGTGCTGCACATCAGTGTCTGTGGAAGAATTTCCAGCAGCTGGGTCAGCCCGCTGAGAGTTCCCCAGTTTCAGCACAAAAGAGAATCCCCCAAAGAAGTTTTGGCGGTCCCTAGATCTCCCCCGGGGAGCTTTTGCAGCTCATGAAATGCAGACTTTGCACTCCCAGGTCGACATCTGGTACTTCCAAGTTCAAGTGCTAAAGGTGAAGTTATTTTATTGCAGGGAGCTTCAGGCGTTTTGTTTGCTTGTTTGCAAAATGCTCAAGAAATAACATGATTTTAAAAGCTTTATTAAAAACTTCTTGCATTTCAACAGAGGCTTCCACCTTCAGAAATAAAATTATGCTTTGTAGCTGCTAATGACTGCAGCCTCCCAATACTCCTGTGAAAAAGGTATAAGGCAGGGAAATACTTCTGTGGAAAAAGAGTCACATTTAGTAGGTGGGGACACAGGAGGTGAAATCCAGGTCCCAGCTGAAGTCAAAGGGAAAATTCCCTTGATTTCAGTAGGGCCAGGATTCCACTGGCAGTGATTAGGAGGCTGCGGCCACAAATCCTTGCTCAGAGTCTGTCCATTACATGGACAAGCAGTCCATTGTAGCTGTGCACTCACATAAACAAGACTTAGTGGAATCGGGCTCCCAAACTTACCTTTTCATTTTCAAAAGTGGTCACTGATTTGAGATGCCTGGCTTGAGGCACCTGAAAAGGCTTTTTCACTGTCAGGGAATTTTTGTGCCTGAAATCCATCTTAGTTGGAACCTAAATCAGCACCTCCAACAAGTCAATCTCAGTTTAGCAATCACTCTCCTAAAAATTTGCCTTTTTTATGTCATTGTGGAAGGCCAAGAATAACAGACTCGGGATTTGGGATTCCTAGTCTTCAGGGCTGTGTCCAAATTCTTTACATTTATCTTTCAGATATTGAGAGCACCTCTGAGGATGGGCATCCTCATTTACCATGAGCTGGAGCATTCCCCCACTGAGGTGGGTCTCTAGGTTGGCATATGCCCAGAGAAACAAGTCACCATGAAGCAACACAAGCAGAGATGATGTGTGGTTTTTTGACTCTGCGAACAAAAACATACCATGCAGCCAGCATCTTCAGGCACTGCTGTCCCTGCAGAGCTCCCAGACAGACAACGACAGCAGGTAACAGGGACCTAGGGGGACAGAGTTGGGCACAGGTGGGGATTGTTGGGACACATAAGGAGGGGAAGAGTTCATAGTACTGCAGAGAAAGCAGAAGGATATTGGTGGGTAGGAGATTTTCTTTCTTTCTACACTGGGGTCCCCACACCCCCTTCACCACAACAAATCCCACTGCTGAGAAGTTTAGATATTGAGTCCCTGGAGCATGTCCAAAGAAGGGCAATGGAGATGGTGTCTAGAGCACAAGTCTTCTGGGGATTTGATGAGAGGGACTGGGATTGTTCAGTCTGGAGAAGATGGGGCTCAAAGGAGACCTTATGACTCTCTGCAGCCCCCCAAAAGGAGATAGTAGTGAGGTGGAATTTGGTCTCTCTTCCCAGGTAAAAAAGACAGGACAAGAGGTAATGGCTTTAAATTGCATCAGGGGAGTTTCAAGTTTGATATTAGGAAAAATTTCTTCAGAGAAAGAGTGGTATGACATTGAAACAGGCTGCTCAGAGAAGTGGTGGAGTCAGCATCCCTGAAGGTTTTCAAGAAAAGGGACATGGTTAGTGGGCATAGTGGGGATAAGTCAACAGTTGGACTAGATGACCTTAGTGGTCTTTTCCAATCTCAATGATTCTGTGGTTCTAACAATCTGAGCTTAGCTTGACCTTAGTGACTTCTAGTGGCTCCTGATCTGCAAAGGAAACCCAGTGCCTTGTATTTACATCACAGAGAAAATAAACCAAAAAGTATGGAGACACCAGTGCCCTCAGTATGGATCTCAGCAGTGCACCTATGGAGCATGGAGACCTCTTGTGCAGGCACGTGGGTCCTGGGCTGGCTGAATCCCTGGCAGGACATGTAGCCAGCAGTGCCACACCTTAGGACTTGGCAAAGGGGACAGTTTATGTGGTACTACAGGCATCCAGCGTAGCCCTAGGTCTGGCTGCTCAGGTTCCTGCCATTTCTCAGCAGAGCAGCAGCTTTGCTGTCAGATCCTTCAGGCCCAGGATGCGAGCAGGGAGCCCAGTGCCAGACTTGCTGCCCTCCTCATTCTCCTGCCCAGTAGCTGCCTATTTCTAAAACAGGATATGATATATGGTGCAAATTTACAGCACATCAGCTAGGCTGCAGTAACTCGTGCTCACGCTCGGCCCCATGAGGTAACTGTGGTAAGCCCTTGCATTAAATATGAAGTAGCTTAGCTGTCAAAGAGTGGGAGCTGAGCTGCCATGCATTTATTGTGGCTCGTGAACTCAGACGGTTCCTGCGGAGCAGCTGACGCGCTGCAAATTTGCACCTTAGCATTTCTCGTGGTGAGCTGCTCGTGTGGCTAAAGCCATGGAGAAGGCATGTGGGCTAAAGTGGAGGTATTGAAATTCAGTAGGGCAGCAGCCTGGGGGGCATCTCACATTCACACGCACACGTATATACATGTATCATTTTCTTTTCTGTGGGTTTCTGCTTTCCAGGAGATTAAGGTCAGCTGAACCAAAGCTGACAGTGATACTCTGCCAAAAGTGGCAAATTTTACCTGCTTGAGAGTTGAAGACGGACAAAAGTCAGTTATTGGCTCTGTTTTCTAGACCTCAGTGAATAGCTGTACTTATTTCCTTAGCACCTTTATTGTAGGATATCAGAGGGCCTCACAAAGTATTTCAGGCACATTTTACACATAAATGCAAGAGATTTAACACTGTTGTCTGTAACTCAGACTGCAGCCTGGCATAGCATTACTGTAATTTTCTCATGACCACACAGAGAGTGAGAACTGATGGCAGGAGAAAATCTCGTCCCCCCACACCAGTCTGTGCTGACCCAGCACTCTCTGCTGGCTCCAGCCTTGGGTTAGACCTTATCAAAATTACAAGCCTGTTTTACCTGATCTGACTTAGCAAGGCAAATATCACACAGGTTGTGTGATACAGATTATTTATGATGAATCAGCTAAAGACTGATCAGAAAGACTTCTTGGCAAAGGAATGAGCAAGGAGCATATCACAGATATGGTGGGTAGGGGTTCCCCCACACCAAAGTACATAAGCTAATTTTTCCCTTTTTCCTGGGGACTTACGTTAGAGACCACGTTGATCTCTCTTTTTGTGTGCTTTCCAGTTCACTGAAGTGGAGGAAGGTAGAAATGGAATGTTTTCCTGAATGTGTCTACATCCCTCTATAGCCATCCATACATGGAGCCAGAGCCCTGAAGGGAGCTGTACTGAATCACCCAACTGGAACCTCCTTTTCCTTTGGCATTTCAAAACCTAAGCAGGCTTCCTAAAGGAGGCATGTCTGGTTTCACACCATGCTCCAGCAGCAATGGCCAGAGAGCTCTGGTCTGCGAGGCAAAGCATGTGTATTCACCACATTGTCTTTCATGGTCTTCTTGTGGAATCAGATCAGTTCTATTTTCATGGCCTAATTCAGCCTTGCGAAGGTGAGCCACATGTAATAGATGCTGTTCATCTTTTTGCCGGCTTCAAACTGAACTGTTATTTATGATGTTAGACTCTTAACAAACTTATTTGTAAGTAACTCTGAAGAACGTGAAGCTTTTATGGGAGATAGGAAAAACGTTTGGATGAGAATCAGTTTGTTTTGCTGCTTCTCTCTCGCTTTTCTAATATGGGAAGATAAGAAAACTTATTGATTTATTACCTACTCGTTAAGCAAAGACTGAGTTGCTGGAGAGACAGGAGAAGGACAGTCATTTTGTGAAACCTCTCTGAGGATGATGAATGTCAAGCACTTCTCTGAGCCCAGATCTGTCATTTCGTTCTCTCTTGGATGTTGTTTTTTGATACATTTACAGCCATAGTAGATTTGGTGTTTTCACAACTGTGAATGTTGAGCCTGAGTTAGGGAAGTAGGCATGGATAGGACTGTCAACTTCTCCCCTTCATGCAAAATTATCCTGTATGGAGAGGGAATGCTTAAGCTCTCTGAGTGGTGGGTTGCATGAGCTGTTAATGCAAGGGTCACAACCACATAACTTATCAGATATTGTCTTGATAATAACGCTTTTATTCAAATATCCTCATGCATTAAAATCAGTGTCTGAGCACAATGGAGTTGATATTACTCATTCTATTTGTATGAATTTCCCTGCTGTTAATGCAGGGAGAATTTTGTTTTTCAATGATTTGAAGATGTGCTTCTACCCAGGATTGCAGCAACTGCAAGTCCTCTCAAGACTTCACTGTGCAGAATTCTAGCACCAGGCCAAAGCTAAACTCTCTGAGGTGGAGCTTTTATGAAAGAACCGTTTCCTATCCAGCAAGTGTGGTTTCATCAGTATGAAATATTTTACAGGAATGTGTCAACTCTGATGATATTTTCAAAGATAAGAAGTTGAAACGAATAATTGTGACACTATAATTTTATTTTAGTAATGCTGAAACATTTTGTTACAGTAAGGCACAATCTTTCTTTCCTTCAAAGATAAAAATGCTATGTCGCTGGCATTTCAATTCATTTTATTTAGACTCCTGGGTCATATTAACGTTTCTTAACCTTATGCTATTTAACAGCCCTATGTTTGGTATTCTTCAGATACAAGTTTTTAATGGTGCTCATTATTATTATTTTTTTTATATATATATAATTTATTTTCAGTGAGAAATGCATACTTTTGATTTCAGAAGAGAAAATGATCACAACATCAGGATTTCCCACAGGATGGAAATTCTGGCCCATCCATATTATTCCATGAGGGACTCTTGTTCATCACTAGGAAATGTGGACTTGTTCCAAGTGTAGTACAGGCTCCAAAAGTCCCAAACCACCAGAACCTCTCAAAGCCCCAAGAGCTCACAATCAAAGTAAAAAGCAGGGGGCAACAGATGGATGGAGACAGATGGAGAACCACAAAGAAACCAGGAGACAGGTTCAGGTCAGCCTGATAACAACCATCTCAGTGGTTTCCTCTTCAGCTCACACTCAGATCTTGCAGACCTGTCTTCCTTATGCTGTCTTTAACACTTTCATGTCTTGCCACAACCAGAGACTCATATTTGACCATCTTAAAAGGACTGTGCACCTTATGTCTTGGTTGTACAACAGTTCTAGATAGGAATTTAATTCACATTTGCCTTCATCCTGTGATCTCAGGGGCTGTTGGTAAGAGATACCAATCGTTGTGTGTAAGTGCCCCACTCACATGGCTTTTCTATGGGATAGGAGAGGTTAAGTCAGAAAGAAGTATTGCATACTTACAGCAATTAGTAGTAGTTTTCTGAAAAAATCTGTTTTTTTAAATGGAAAGTTTGAATGAAAGATATGTGTTTTGTATAGATGTGGCATGCATGGCTGGTTAGTATATAACCCATGACCAGGCATTAGCAGCTCTCGGAGTAGACAGAGGACGTAGAGCTGGTAGATACCATTAAACACTTTCATACTCCTACGATAAATGACCAGGGGGAGCTAGAGATTGTGTTGCCTTACAAAATTCACAAGTAATTTTTATGCTTGTAAACCTCTTTCTCTAGAAAGAATTATTATGAACATTATTTGGCCAACAGCAAACGAAAAACCTTATGACAGAAGAAAACAAAAATGTACTTTAAAAGTGTGAAGGTCCCTATGGAGAGGAAAAGGGTGAAGGTGGCAAAATTGCTGGCAGCATAGGACACTCCAACAGCAGGAAAATCTGATCTTCCTTGTTATGTGGGTGAGCAAGGTCACAAACCAGTACAGACTGAGAATATTCACTGATGTTGTGTGAGTGAACGGCAACAGTTTGATGGCATTTCAAATGTCATTTCTGTAACTAACAGCAGATTTCTTTCCTGAAACACTGTGCTAAAGAAACAGATCCACACATCTTAGCTTATAGTACATTTTCAGATGAGATCTGCTGAAGGATGTCCTATGGAAATGAGAGATGAAAGCACTGAATTTCAATGGGATTGGCTTTGCCTCTGTGTACAGCGGTTTCCCTTACAAGCAGATTTAAGGCTGTTGAAGTAACTGGTGACAACACCAGACTGGATCTATTTCTTTACTTCTTTATCTCTTAAGCTTTGGTCTGCTGTGACTTCAGTGGGAGTTTGAGTACCACAATCCAAACAAAATACAAAGTTCTGCAGTTTGGTTAGCCATGGTTATAGTCTATTGTGTAATGAGACAAAGAGAAATGTAGCTCTCCACAAAATGGAACTGCTGCTGTTATTTTATGAAACAGCTGCATTCAGAATGCCAGCAGAAGCTGCTGTTTGAGTGTTTTATTGGGATTATCTGTTAGGAATAAATTAAAGATTGCTTCATTTAAAATGTGCTGCAGGAACTTGGCAGGTTGAAAAAAAATCAATTTGTTGCCAGAGATCTCCGTTAAGTCAGTTATGATGAGAAGATGAGGACTTCTGCATCCTTCCATCAACAAAAGGAATAAATTATCACAATAGTTGGAGCTTAGAGTGCTTAGCCCTTGCAACACTCTTTAGTGGAGCAATAATATGGAGCCGTCAGCTGACTTGAGAGTGCATTTTCTCCAAGAAACTCAAAGAGCAGTTGAAACTAATCTTGGCAATAGGGATGCAGTCTGTTTTACTGTATGTTGGCGCTTGACTTGCATGCCGTATCACTTGATCAGGAAAAGTTGGATGGGTATGTAATTACATGCAAATGTTCCTCAGGATGGAAGCATCATCCTGTCAGACTGAGGGAAAAAAAGATAGGTCCCATTCTTCAGATGTGCTCATTAGAGAAATAACAACTTCATATTTTTTTAAAGCTTTATTTTAGGGAACTCCGTCCTCTGAAAACTGGAATCAGCCCTGGAGATTTGTACATTTTCTTTGAATCAGTGCCTCCTCAAGGAGCACATACACGCCAGCATTTGAAAGCAATTATCAGAGACATTTTAAGAGGAAATCGGGGACATGTTGTGGGAATGAAGGAAGATATTTCTCATTCTTCTTTACTTCTTGGGTTATATTGCACAGACAGATCTCACATAGAATGAAATTCACCCCTGAGCAGAAAGTCAGTGCAAGGCAAATAGGTTTTGCTTAAGCCTGAGGGCTTAGATGAGAGTTAAGTGGTGAACAGGTCCAATGACGGCCTGCAGCACAAGTGTGCATTTTATTAATCAAAGATGTCTCGTTGTTCTGAGCCAGCACTACCCAATAATACATCCAGTGCAACACCCAGACCTGTTTGATGGGGTCTCATTTTTGAAAGCCAGAAATGTTAGATGGGGATATTTCTGTTGTTTCCTGTTACAAAGATAAGACTCAGATTTTGACTTTTCTTAAATTTGATTTGGGTAAAAACCAAACAGAATAGTGAGTTAAGCTTTTGACTGCACTCTATTAAAAGCTGCTTTAGTCTCTGCTCTTCTTAGAAGGTGTTCTTGCTTTCAACCACATTTTTAATTGTCTTTCAGTTGAAATACATTCTTTACAGATGTAAGAGAAGGATAATAGAGTTTTTTTCTTTGCATTATTTAGAGAAGTTCGTTGCCTGATTTACCACTCTTTAAGTAAGAAATCTAGGGTTTCAATTTTATTTCATGTTCCCTTGTTCTTTTTTTTTTTTTTTTTTTTTTTTTTTTTTTTTTTTTTTATAAAGAGACAAAGGCTTGGATAAATGGTTACCAGAGCATGGTTAAATGTAAAAATCTGTTTGTTTACAATTCATACCTGTTGCATTGAAGACTTCTAGCTCAACCTGCCTAGTAAGACTTCTTCCAGCTGAATTTTCAGTGAGGAATAGTAAGCTATGTTAGATGTTAGACTCTAAAGCTGAAGATAATTGTAAAGCCTTTCTTTCTCTTTAGGTTTACTGAGAAACTGAAAAACTGAAGTGCAAGTATCATCTCTCTTCTCCGGGAGAAGTTAAAGGGAATTAGATCAACTAATTAGAGGCAATGCCAAGCTCCATCAGCATGCCAGGATTCAGCCTGCTGTCACTGTCAGGCACTTTCCAAGCCACTGGTTGCATTGGAGCCTGTTGGTGCTGCAAACCTTGTAATTGAAGTGCTCCCAGCCAAACCCTCTGGGATCCAGATGTGGCAAGGGTAAAACACGTCAGCCCTACAAATCTGCCGCATGGGACAGAAGCTTCCCAGACCTCAGACCTGACTGTCAGCTCTGTCCTTGCTGGCTTCACACCACAGGCTGCAAAAGCTGCACCCAGCAGCAAGGGAAAGCGTTGGCTGTGACTAGGAGCTAGAGCTACCGGTGCCACAGGTAATTGCAGAGCTAGATGGAGGGAGAGCCTTTGTGGCTCAGGCCCATGGCTACCATCACTGGGGGAGCTGTGCTGGCATTAACAGCACTGGGAGATTTTTACCAGTTGAGGTAAGTTCTAGAAAGCAGATAAGATTCAGGGATAAAAAAACATCAGAAGGAGCACTTCACAGCTTTGGCTGCATTCCCCCCAAAGCAGCACAGTCCAAGTTAGAGGCAGCCATGTGGGGAATCATGGGCTTATGAGCTCTTTGATCTGCTCCCATCATGCTGATACACCTCCTTGCTGTCATCCCAGGCTGGGCTGGAAGGGCCAAGCATGGTCCAGATAACACCATTTTAAAAATATCTCCATTAGCTTCAGCAATAATAGCATGTGAATGAAGAAATCAGTTTCCTGTGATGAAGTAAAGAGTTTTTCTGGGAAGTCAGGGTGAGGAGGAAATAACTCAATGAACCAAATGATCAGTCCAAAGATAGCAAGCATTTCAGTCTAGAGCTTTTCCATTTACTTTGTTAATTTGTCCTCATATCCAACACAGAGACAGACAATTCAGCAATGAGTCATTATTAGACATAACAAAGCCAAATATGTATTTGCAGGCAATTTTTAGGCAGTTAACGATCATCTGGAATACTGTTCTCCCAGCAGATGCTCTCTCTCTTTCTGTGATTTGTGGAAATCCCAGTAGGAAAAAAAAAAAAAAAAAAAGTAAAATTAAAAGCACTTATGAGCAAAATCCTTTCTAGGAAGTATGAATATTTTCTTTCTATTAGTATTGTTACTTTTCTTCTATTGGCTTTTCCAGGCATAAGCGTTACTTCTAAGAGTGAACTTGCTGAAAGACAGAACTATGTACCTTTAAGATAAACCACAGGGAATTAGTATCTAATCAAGCAATGGATTGTTCATGCACTGTTTGTCCAACCATTGCAGAGACAACATGTAACCTCTCAAGACATTTCTTTTTTTTTTCTTTCCTTTAAAAGATTATTTCAGTAGTCAAGCCTAAACATTTCACGTGATCAAATTAAGAAAACGTAAGATTCTTTGGAATGGGGAGGAAAAAAGAATTGCTACACTGACAAATTGTTTTAAAGCTTTCTAGGGACTACACAATAGCTCTGGGATCCCTTGGGTAAAAATGAAATAGCTGCACCTTAGGAA